CCTCCAAAATTTAATCTACCTTGATATCTAAAGTTTAGCAAAATCCGAAAAACCCTAACTAAAAGCCCTAAAAACTCATATTTATAAACTTTAACCTTAAAATCCTATAAAAACAATTATGAACCTTATAATATTATCTTATCATAATAATTATTATGAAATACAATCATTGAAAAATAAAGATTTAGTTATTAACATTTACCCTTGATTTATAAGTCAAAAATCAAGAGTTTTATGCATAAAAACTAGGTTAAGGTGCACATTTTATAAAAAGTTGGATATTTTATAAAAGATTTGAATTTTTATAAAAGAAAAACAAGAGAGAGGGAGCCTCTCCTCCCCAATTTCATTCTCTCCCTCCCCATATCTCTCTCTCACACTCTCATTCTCCAACATACACACATCTCTCTTCTTTCTCTCTCTAGAAAACTCTCTCTACCTTCTCTCTAATTTTTTTCTCCAAACACCACAACCACAGCCTCTTAACCACGAAATTATGGAGATTCATAAGGGGTTTTCAAGCCACAAATAAATTTAAGGTAAAGAACATACATCTCTTGAAGATCCACAAACAATGATAAGCCATGCATGTGCATTTTACTTCAAAAACCGACTTCTACTTCTTCATCTTCTTCAAACTTGTTTTATTTTTGTTAAAATGGTTTTTAGAACATCATGGATGTGTTCTAACACCATGCATGTATGATAAACAAGGTTGCATGTTCATGATCTTAGTGCAAAAATTGATTTTTAAGGACTAAAACATTAAACTCAAGTTAAGAGTTTTTGAGAAACAATTTTGTTCATAAATGCATGTATACATTTTGATAAGTTTAATCTTTTGATCTCTGGAAACATGACTAAAAATGAGTTTATCATGATATATTTAAAATATTTCAAAAGATTTACTCAAGGAAATGATGAAAACTCACTTTTCTAACCAATCATCATGCATGCAATCTGCCAGATTTCTTTACCTGACTTTAAACTGCCATATCTCACTCATTCGTAACCCAAGTTCGTGATTCTTTTTCTGAAATATAATATTTTGAGTTAGCTTTCAAACCCATCTGACCTCACTGGAAAATTACAATATTTCGATTTTTACCAATTTTTACACAAACTGTTGCTCAAACAGCACTTTCCTTATGAACATTTGTTTTGTGTTGCATGTTCAAAGGACTTATTCATCACTAAAAATCATTCAAAAATTATTTTGAACTCTTAATATCATGTATTAATAGGTACAAAAAGATCTTGATTCAAAAGTCTTTGTAACATGTTGCAAAAATTCTCAAAGTAACATCAATAATCTTTACATAAATCACAAGAACCAAGTTTTCTCTATAATTTATTGAGCCTTTAGACATGGTTTTCAACATCAAAAATAAGAAAACAATTTTTCATTGTTATTAAATTATATGAAGATGCATCCTGGAAATTTTCAGCGCAATATATATTTGCTTTATTTTTATATGAAAATAATAAGAAAATAGAGTGTTAAATCATATAAAATACTTACACGAGTAAATAAATTCTGTAACAATTCTTGGATGATCCTTTAAGTTAATAAACATCTCCATGAAGTTTCAATGACTTTTGTTACTGTTTAATATGGTTTTGAGTTTTCTTTTTGTTTAGCTCTAATAAATCATAAAACACATTAGGGAATATAAAAAGAGTATCTAATAATTTTCTCAGCTTCTACCCTATGTGGAAGGCTCAGGAAAATATTTTGGGAATTTTTCAAAATGTATATCTATTTTTCATGATTTTTTTGTGTTTATAATGGACTGAAAACAGGAAAAATAGTTTTACTCATCTAAAAATCATGAAAATTTACCATAACACCTTATAATATATTAGAATGCTACATAAAAATTTTGATAATTTTTCTTCTGTATGCTATTTTTATCTATTTTCCCAAGATTAAATACACTTAAATCCATTTTATTAGAATAAATGCACAAAAATCATAAAATTGGGTTTTTAAAACAGTTTAGAAATCATTTTTATATTTTTCCCAGCTTAAGTATGTCTAATGGCAGTATTATATAAAGTTTGGGAATTTTTATCATCTGGATCCTATTTTTCACGAATTTATATTGTTATGAAGGCTTAAAATTGGGAAAAATAGTTAATCACATCAAAAATTCAAGGGAAAATTTCTGGAAGACCTCTACTGTGTTTAGAATGAAAATGCAAAGTTTTGAGAAGTTTGGAAATTGTTGATAATATTTTGGCTTTTAAGAGCTTAAACACATTTTAAATGTGTTGAAATACCCTCAATTAATATTACAAAAATCTGGAAATTAATATCCAAAATTGTCTTAATCACATGAGCTATAAAATTTCACCATTTCAGAAAAATGTTTGTAACTTATCAATATTAAATTTTGACACAATATTGGCATAATTCTATTGTAGTAGTAAGTATACTAGTGTTAGATTTCGATTAGAGACTCACTAGCGAATACCATTATTGTAGGAATCGGTATTGGTACACGTGGAACGTAGTTCAAGGCCTCATTTTCATCATCTCAATGCATTGTGAGTATTCACGACTCCCCCTATTTTCGGTTTTTATGTTTTGGGGTGGAAAAGCATGTCTTAAAAATATTTATGTTCGTTGTATTAATTTGAATTGTATCAAACTTGGTTGCTAAATGTGGCTATGTATGTGTATGCTATTGTTAATTCATGAGGCCTTTAGCGCGTTAAGTCCCTGGAATCAATTCACACAACTCATTCTCATTTGCGCATATGGTTATTATGGATAGCGCTATTAGGAGGTAGACAACTCCTCACTCGCCGATTCGCTTGAGTGCATTTTACCATATTTTCCCTATGTTAGCGATAGACATAGAAGAGGGCACCCCTCGGTCATTAGGTTTGGGTTGTGAACTCATGGTATATCATTATGCACATACGAACCTGGTATCTCGTTTTAGCAACAAACTTTATTTCCCATGAGAATATGAACGTTGCATCTTATTTGGGCAACATACTTTTCTCTCATGATGACAACGGACTTTTGTTTATGTAAACTTATTTACTCATTTGCAATATATTTCTATTTATGGAAACTTTATTTCCCATGAGAATATAACGTTGCATCTTATTTGGGCAACATACTTTATCTCTCATGATGACAACGGACTTTGTTTATGTAAACTTATTTACTCATTTGCAATATATTTCTATTTATGGAAACTTTATTTCCCATGAGAATATGAACGTTGCATCTTATTTGGGCAACATACTTTATCTCTCATGATGACAACGAACTTTGTTTATGTAAACTTATTTACTCATTTGCAATATATTTCTATTTATGGAAACTTTATTTCCCATAAGAATATGAACGTTGCATCTCATTTGGGCAACATACTTTATCTCTCATGATGACAATGAACTTTGTTTATACAAACTTATTTACTCATTTTTTAACAATATACCTTATTTATGGAAACTTCTATTAAAACTTTGATTACGATTCATGAAACCAATATTATTTTTAACCTGTGAGTACTCACCAACTATTTTTATAGTTGACGCTCGTTTTACATGCTTTTTCAGGAATCATCGAGTAAGTGGCACTTAGGGATACATCACTTTTAGGAGCATTCGCATGTGTTGTATTTCAGTTTACATTGTAATTTCTTTTAAAAATTTGTTCAAACCCATTGTAAATTTGTAATGATTTTTAAACTATGGTTGGTGTTGTCTTTTAACTTTTGCTATGAAACTCTTTATACTGCCACGCCTCGTGTTTCCGCTTTAGCGGGGTGTGACAACGGCCTCCGGGCAAACATCCGGTTTCAGAGGCTTCTCTCTTGTACTGTCCTTTACAGTTTACCGTCTCATCGTCGGGGTCTTTTCTCACCAAAAATCAAAAATAAAATAAAATAATAAATAATAAAAATTCTACTTAACCTAAATCTAAACCTAACAACCTAAGTCTTCGATCTTGAACTTTTGTTATTTAGTCTTCAGCCTCTTTGTTGCTTGATATTCAGCCACTTTTTTTTAATAGATCTAAAGCCTTGAACTTGGATTCTTATTCTTCTTTTTGTGTTTCTCTTTTTCTTCATTTTTCTAATTTCTTCATTTTTCATTTTTTTTTGTGTTTTCTTCTTTGAAGGTCTAAGGAATTTCACCATGTAACATAGGATGGAGGCTAACATGAACACCTAATGATCATTGACAATGTGCCAAGATCAACTAAAAAGGGGTGGGGAATGACTCAAAAATGGGTGTTACCGAAAAGACTTGGTCCCAAAAGATGTGAATTGGGGGACCCACTTCAAAGTTCATCAAGCACCTCAATGCAAGGTGTGATAAACAAAATCTATCTAACTATCTACTCTAGACCCCTAGAAAAATGATGACCTATCTTAAAAAGGTGGTGAGAATCTAACTAAGTAAGGCTCGGACGAGACTCGGGAGTACTAAGGGGTACTCCCTCCAAAACCAAGATGCGAGTCTTCATTATCTTCAATGTACCTTACCGGGCTAATCTTTGCTCGCGCACATCGGTTTGACCAACCACATCCCTCCGCACCTAGACCCAATCAAGCTACCTGCATCTGACCCCCACACAAGCGGTCTTAAAATGGTCTGTGAGGCTCAAAACGTATCCCACTTATCAAACACAAGGAATTCCATATCAAGACCCGGGACCAATCTATGATTCAATACTTATGAGTCGGTGCTCTGGTACCTGTAGGGATGAGAAGACAAGAGAGAACAAAAATGCATGAACTTAAACTAGAATGCATCTAAAAAGCATGAAAATTAGAAAAGAAAGAAATAAAATATGCAATATTTTTGGAATTTTTTATGCAATTTTTATGAATGACCTAAATGCCTTACTCTAAATGCAACTATATACAACCTAAATGCAATAAAAAAAATATATAAGAATACCTCACCCCAAGCTTAAAATTAAGCATTGTCCTCAATGCTTACGATGAGAGTAAGGAAGGATCATACCGGGATCAAGGTGGAGGAGGCCCTCGAGGGGGATAACCGCCCTCGGGCTGAAAATGATACCAAAGGTCCTCCATGTAAGTGTTGGTGCATGCTTGTTGTTCCTCACTGCGGTGGATGGCTGCGTTGCCCTGGAGGCGCAAGGAAGCAAGCTGACTGTAAATATCTAGAGGAAACTCGTGTGCGGGGTCGGGCTCATTGTGTTTCTGGTATGAGTGATAATCATGCTGTGGCTGGAAGTGTTCTCCCGAGGGCTGAGAGTGTGACCCGGAGGCTTGACATGGATAAGGTGGTGGCAACTGGCGGATCGGGAGATCATAATGGTCTTCAGCCTCGAATGGGCTATCAGCATTGTCAGGGTCCACCTGCATGTCATCATCCGCTGCTACAGCATCATCATTTGGCAACTCTTGAGGCAAGAACCATGTTTCGGGGACATTGCTGGTGAAGGCGGAGATACTTGGATTGGGCAAGATGTAAACTGGGTCCTTGACATGGTTGAGCCAAGAGAAATGTCCGGGAAGAGTAGGATGAGGTAGCATTAATTCCATCCGGGTGAGAGTTATGCAATCAAGAAGGTAGAGAGGTGGATCATCCACTGGCACATATTCAGATTCTGGAAATTGAAGGCCCATACCCAAACCAATGAGGGTAATGAGACCTCCAATACAAATGTCACCAGTGGTCTTCGTCCTGAGGCTGTCACATTTGTCTAAAAAGAAGGTGGCGAAATCGGGCAAAGACCAACGTCGGCTCGACATGCAGTAGAGAAAATATAACTCAACGGTGTTGATTTGTCCCGGCTCGTGACGAGCAAAGATAAAAGTGGATAGGATCCGGTGGGCAATTCTCCAGCAAGGATGGATGATAAAGGGGTCTTTTTGGCGACTGGGATTGAACTTGGAAAGGCTCGTGATTTGGGTCCAAAAGTCTACTTTGGGCAAGCTTTTAAATTGAGACCATTGGTAGCTGTAAATGTCGGAGTTGTTGATGTCATATGTGCCCATGATCTTGTTGAGGGTTTTGTACTTGAGTCGGTGCTGCCGACCCTGGAGTTTGAAAGTGAGTACCCTCGCCGTGTCATTGCGGGCATAGGTGGAGAGGAAGTCGAGTGTGGGTTGTTTGTAGGTGCGTGCAGAAAGAGCGAGAAACTCGTGCCAACCAATGTTGAAAAATAGTTGTCTCAAGTGGTTGTCAAGGCCGAGGTGCTCCATAGAATCTTGGTGGTAAAATTTTGTGGCGCGGATTGCACGCTTTTGAAGGTTGGATTTGAACTCTCGGCTTTGGGCACTCGTGAGGGTAAGGTTCCCATCACGATCAACATGGTCGGTGGACATTTTCTTGGATGGCCCCGAGGATTGAGCTTCACGAGATGAACCATGAGATGCGTGAATGGTCTTGTCCCGTGCCATTGTACCAGTGAATAAACCTAGCAAAGACAAAAACTTGGGCAAAATTATCCCTCACACTCGCCTCACACCAATCCAATCAAATCAAATAATTAAAATCGGGCAATATTCCAAACTTGCAATTTGGGAAAAATCAAATGCAATTCAATTAATTCAAAGCAAACTAAGTCTATTTCTAATCAACCTAATGCATAGCATAAGTCTATGGAATGAGAATTTGAATGCAATGAAATTAAAAGAAATGTACCAATTTCGAGTGTCGAAACCTGAAAAGAAATCCGCTAAAACCGCACCCCAAGCTTGAATTTGACCCACAAGGTTGAATCTTTTGAAATTCCCGCGAGAAACAAAAATTTTTAAATTTTTGGTCAAAATTGGTGACGGCGGCCGGCGGCGGCGACAGACGGCGGCCGGCGGCGAAGCTCGGTTTTCCGGCGATGAGATTTTCCCAAATTAATAGTAGATCGGTGTGTGGTGGAGCGTTTGGTAAAGAATGGCCCAAGAATTTTCGAGTTTTGATGGAATGTGGAGGCGGAATGGCCGTTTCATGATTTTCCGGCGAGGGTGGGAATGGGGGCGTCGAGCGGTTTACCGGCGAATAGATGGGTGGGGTTTGGTCGGAATTAGGTGGGGAGTAGAGCGGGGGTAGAGCGCCGTCGAAGGGAGCAGCAGCAGGTGACAGCGGCGAGGCGCGTTTTTCCGGCGACGAGAGGTTTGGTCGAGAACGGGCTGTCGACGGTGCTGGAGGGAAGCGCTGACTGGCGGCACTTGCTGACGACGGAGGCGCTGACCGATGGCGTTGGCGGCGGACAATGGAATCGTCGGTGGTGGCTGAAGGTGGCGACAGTCGGGATCGTCGGCGAAGGGAGCAGCGGTGAGTGTTCATTGACGGGAGGCAAAAAGGGGGGAAAGAAGGGTCCGACGGGTTAAGGGGGGGTATAAGGAGGGATGGGTCGGGTTTTCGGGTCGGATGCGGGCTGGAGCGGGTGTGGGTCGTGTTTTCCGGGTGGAGCTATAAGGGGGGGAGGGCGCGCAGCTTGAAAGTGAAATTTCTTCAAAGCCGCGCAAATATCTACGCGGGAGGATTTTGGCCGCGCGCAACTCACAGAATGCATCCCATGTTGGCGCAATTTGGAACTCGGAACTTGCGCGGCTGGGGCCGGCCGCGCAAAGGTTGCGCGGGTACCCGCGCAAAAGTCAAATTTTTCGAATTTTTCAAACTTCACCAAAATCACTGGAAGACTTCTATATGCTTATTTTTAGACCAATTTCAAACTTAGAAACACCCAAAACTTCAAACGGACATTATTTATTCACATTGCATTTATTTAACGTCTTTGCCAAGACATAGTCCCGCTTCCATCAACCTTCGTAATTTGGGATTTCCAATGTTACGTTGTCGAATTCTCCCGTATCAAAGCCTTCATAAAATGGTTTCAAGCGGTGTCCATTCACTTTGAATATTTGATTTGTTTCCAAACTCTGAATTTCAACCGCACCGTGATCAAACACTTTTATAACAATAAAAGGTCTGTGCCATCGAGATCGCAATTTTCCCGGAAATAGCTTTAAGCGTGAATGATAAAGAAGAACTTTTTGGCCTGGGATAAAATGCTTACGAGTGATATGTTTGTCATGAAACGCTTTTGTTTTATCTTTGTAGATGCTTGCATTTTCATAAGACTCGTTTCTCAATTCCTCGATTTCTTGAAGTTGCATTTTTCGGTGCTTTCCACTTTCTTCAAGATTGAAATTGCACTTTTTAACCGCCCAGTATGCCTTGTGTTCCAATTCCACCGGTAAATGACAAGACTTTCCATAGACAAGGCGGAATGGAGACATACCAATTGGAGTTTTGTAGGCGGTCCGATACGCCCATAAAGCATCTTCTAACTTCAAGCTCCAATCTTTTCGGGTAGTGTTGACGGTCTTTTCAAGAATTTGTTTGACTTCTCTATTTGACACTTCGGCTTGGCCATTTGTTTGTGGATGGTAAGCGGTTGATATCCGGTGTGTGACACCATATCTCTTTGTCATTGCTTCCATCATTTTATTGCAAAAATGAGTGCCCCTATCACTCACCAAAGCTCTTGGTACACCATATCTTGCGAAAATGTTGGACTTTAAGAAGTCAATTACCGTTTTAGAACATCATGCCTTGTTGCCTTTGCTTCCACCCACTTTGAGACGTAATCAACCGCCAAGAGTATATAAGTATAACCAAAAGAAACGGGGAAGGGGCCCATGAAGTTGATTCCCCACACATCAAAGATTTCACAAATAAGGATAGGGCTTTGAATCATCTCATGCCTCATGGATATGGTTCCCGTTCTTTGACATCTATCACAACTCTTGCAAAATAGATAGGTATCTCTTGACATTGTTGGCCAATAGAGTCCGCATTCGAGCACCTTTCGCATGGTTTTGTTTTGACCAAAATTTCCTTCGCATGCATACTCATGGCAAAACTTCAAAATTGACTCAACCTCATTTTGATGAACACACCTCCGTATGAGTTGATCCGGACAATGTTTCCAAAGATAAGGGTCATCCCACACATAGTATTTGGAATCACTCTTCAACTTGGCCTTTTGGTACTTGGTAAATGCATGAGGAATTTCTTTAGTAGCCAAGTAATTCACAATATCCGCGTACCATGGAATGGAATTTGACATATAGAAGAGGTGTTCATCTGGGAATTCATCAAGGATAGGAGAAGAAGAATCACCAATATTCAACCGACTTAAGTGATCCGCAACTAGGTTTTCGGCACCACTTTTATCCTTTATCTCAAGATCGAATTCTTGTAAAAGAAGAATCCAACGAATCAACCGTGGCTTGGCATCTTTATTGGTCATGAGATACTTCAATGCGGCATGGTCGGAATACACAATTACTTTTGTCCCAAGAAGGTATTGCCGGAATTTCTCCAAGGCGAATACAATGGCTAGAAGTTCCTTCTCGGTGGTGGAGTAATTGGCTTGAGCATTATCCAAGGTTTTGGAGGCATAGTAGATGACATGGGATGCTTTGCCCTCTTTTTGACCTAAGACCGCGCCAATAGCAAAATTGTTTGCATCACACATTATTTCAAATGGAAGCTCCCAATTTGGAGGTTGGATTATTGGGGCGGAAGTGAGCAAGTCTTTAAGTTTGTCAAAGGCTTCTTGGCATGCAATATTGAAGTCAAAATCGACATCTTTTTGAAGAAGGAGGCACATTGGTCGCGTGATCTTTGAGAAATCTTTGATCAATCTTCTATAGAATCCCGCATGGCCCAAGAAAGATCTCACTTCTCTAACACATGTTGGGTAAGGAAGGGTTTGGATGACATCAATTTTGGCTTTATCAACTTCGATGCCCTTTTTGGAGACGATGTGTCCCAAAATGATTCCTTGATTGACCATGAAGTGACATTTCTCAAAGTTTAACACCAACTTTTTCTTAATGTACCTTTTCAAAATCTTCTTAAGGTTACCCAAGCATTCATCAAACGAATTGCCATACACGGTGAAATCATCCATGAACACTTCGATTATATTTTCAACATACTCGGAGAAGATACTCACCATGCATCTTTGGAATGTGGCGGGGGCATTGCATAATCCAAATGGCATCCGCTTGTAGGCAAATGTGCCAAAGGGGCATGTAAAAGTCGTTTTGTCTTGATCTTCGGGGGCAACGGGTATTTGGTGAAAACCCGAGTATCCATCAAGGCAACAATAATGTGATTTGCCCGCCAATCGCTCGAGCATTTGATCAATGAAAGGAAGAGGGAAGTGATCTTTGAACTCGAGTGGGTACCATTACGCCTTTGTTATTCTCAACAACCGTGATTCCCGTTTTCTTGGGAACCACTTGCACCGGACTAACCCATTTGGAGTCGGAAATTGGGTAAATCATATCCGCATCAAGTAACTTGATTATCTCCTTCTTGACAACTTCCATCATGGGAGGGTTTAATCGTCTTTGGGCTTCCCTCCTAGGCTTGCAATCATCTTCCATGAGTATCTTGTGAGTGCATACATTAGGACTTATCCCCTTGATGTCCGCTATGGTCCACCCCATGGCCTCTTTATGCTCTTTCAAGACTTCAATCAATTGGTTTTCTTCAAAGTCTTTCAATTGAGAAGAGATAATCACCGGTAGAGTCTCATCTTGACCTAGATAAGCATATTTCAAATGGCTAGGTAAGACTTTCAATTCAAGTGTGGGTGGTTGGATTATGGAAGGTGGCATCTTGATTGGAGAATGAGATAAGGCAACTTGAGAAACATCCTTCTTTGTGGAATTAGTAATTTCTAGAGCCTTCACAATATCTTCAACTTCGGAATCCAATGTATACAAATCCAAGGTATTCTTCAAACTTTCACCTTCAAGACTCATGTTAAGCACCATCTTCAAAAGATCCCCATTTGATAACTCGAATAATTGTTGGGTGATTGGCTCAATCACATCAACTCGATACAATGGAGATATGTTGCTAGGATATCTTATTGCTTCAAAGATGTTGAAGTGAATGGTCTCTCCATCAAACTCCATGGTGATCTTCCCATTGTGGACATCAATAATCGTGTGAGCGGTATTCATGAAGGGTCTTCCAAGGAGAATCATAGATGACTTGGAAGGAGTCTTTTCTTCAAGGTCAATGACATAGAAATCTGCGGGAAATACTAGTTGATTGACTTGAACTAGTACATCCTCCAACACGCCTCTTGGAAATACACTTGACTTGTCCGCTAATTGAATGATGACTCTGGTTTCTTCCAAAGGTCCAACATTGAGAGATTGAAAAACCGAGTATGGCATGACATTGATTGAGGCTCCAAGATCTAGCATGGCACTTTCAACATGTAAATCACCAATGGTACAAGGTATAGAAAACATTCCCGGGTCTTTGCATTTGGGTGGAAGCTTCTTTTGGATGACCGCGGATACATTTGCATTGACTTGAATCTTCTCATTTGTCTTGAATTTTCTCTTGTTGGTGCACAAATCCTTAAGAAATTTGGCGTAACGTGGGATTTTCTTAATGGCATCCAATAGTGAAATGTTGAGTTGAACCTTGTGGAAAGTCTCAAGAAACTCTTTCTCTTCTTCTTGTTTCTTTGAGGAAGCCAACCGGGATGGAAAAGGCGGTGGTATGACCAATGGTTTGATGGGTTTGTTGGAAGGATCGGGCTGATCAACATTTGGCACAACCGGTTCCTTTGGAGGAACTACAACTTTTGGAGGTTCCACAATGATCACTTCATCTTCGTCTTCTCTTGAAACTCTTTTAGGTTGACTTTCTCCAAGTGTTTTCCCACTTCGCAAGGTGATGGAATTCACATTGGGGTTCTTCTTGGTTTGTGATGGAAGTTTACCCCTTTGTTCCATCTTGTTGAGAGCGGTTGCCAAGTCTCCAATTTGTGCTTGAATGTTGGAGAAAGTATTCTTGGTTTCTTGTTGAAATTGGGTTTGGCTTTGAGCAAGAGAAGTGACAAGTTCTTGAAGGCTCATTTGATGGGTACCACTTGATTGGCCTTGTTGTGGAGGTTGTTGGTAATTTGGAGGGTTATAAGAATTTTGTGGATATGGAGGTTTTTGGGATTGGTATTGTGGATGTTGGGGTCTCATCAAAAGATTTGGTGGATAAGGGTTGTTTTGGTTATTCCTTAAATTTGGGTTGAAATTGTTTGAAATCCCATGGGTCTTGGTTGACTTTGATATCCGCCCATTGCATTCACATCTTCCGGTTCACTTCCAAGTGTGGGACACTTATCCGTATAATGGCCCGTCATTGCACAAATACCACATACCATTAGTTGTTGACCACTTCCCACCACCATTTGACTTAACACATTAGTCAAATCCAAGAGCTTTGATTCCAAGTGTTGAGTGTTG